GCCAGTTCTTCGGCATCGCGTTCTTGCAGTTCGTGTCGATGGCCTGTACTATACTTGTGTTCCCACAAGAGGTCCGTATATTCCTCAACGAACACCACAATAAGTGGTATTCAACGAGTTCCTACTTTTGGGCCAAATTAATGGTCGAAATACCCGTCTCAGTGCTCATCGCTTACATCTACTCATTTATCATATACTACGGCACCGGACAACCGGATCAGACATTCAGATATATCTACTTTACACTTATTACGGTTAGGATTTCTCTCTCAATAAAATTAGCTGTTAACTAAATTTGTGTTTGATTTCCACAGACTTGCGGTATGATAATTGCCAACAGCACCGGGTATTTAATGGGCATAATATTTGCCCGTAACTATCAAGTGGCCACCACTTCGGGTGTGGCGCTATTCCTGGTGCTAGTGTTGCTGTCGGGCTTCTTCGTGCCCCTAACCATACAGCACGCCATTGTCAGGGGTGCCAGTTATCTGTCATTCACCAAGATCACTTTTGAGTCCATTCTCATTACACTTTATGGTTTTGATCGGTGCAGTGAATCTCAAATGCCTATACTTTTACATCAGTTGAAACTCAGCGACACTCAGATGAAGGAAAATATGTATTGGATTATAGGTATTGTTAATTAATAATGCAATTTTTTGTTACGTTTTGTTTCATTTGTAAATCACTTGGATTTACAGGTCATTTGATATTCTGGCGTTTGCTTGCATTGGTTGTACTCATTATGAGAGCAAATGAATTCAATTTGTCATTCTTGAGACGAAAGCAAAGATTGGATTTAATTGAGACAATCCATGACAATAAGAGTATCACATTTACATCACATTATCTCAATTCAGATGAAACATAAACCACTTGAAGAAACCGTTGAATTTATTGTTGTTTTTATAAATTGTCTATTTCTTTATAAAAAAAAGTTACTGTATTCTCAAAGTATGTTATATTTCTATACAAATTGTTAAACACTTAAACAAAAAGCAAATTTTTATTTATTTATTTATTTTAATAACTTTTAACTGTTAGTTNTAAAAAAAAGTTACTGTATTCTCAAAGTATGTTATATTTCTATACAAATTGTTAAACACTTAAACAAAAAGCAAATTTTTATTTATTTATTTATTTTAATAACTTTTAACTGTTAGTTATATCGAAAGGAGTACAATAAATATCAAATAAAATACAAAATATTTACCGATATTAAAAATAAATAAATGGTTTGTTTTATAAAATGATCATCATTTTGATTATTTTTTGTGTTTTTGTGCTAATCATATGCACACACTGTGTGACCGGCAGAACGGAGGACGACATGTGCCGTATTGTGCAATACCCGCAACCTTTACACACACTGTGTGTCATTGGTTTGCGGCCCGACTCAACCGCTCGTCACTGTCTGTCCAAATGCTCACAAATATAAACATATAAAATATAAATTTACAAACAATAAATTCAATTAAATAATAATTAAAACCAACAACATTTACTAACCATATGTTTATATTTTTATGTGTAGTTTAATTGCATAAATACCGTATTATGTCAGAAATTTAATTTACAAAATTTTAAATTATAATAAT